TTTAAAATTTGTTGAGGAAATCGATAGTGGACGAGGGTTTGTATATGCTAGGGTTCGAGAATTTGAGCCTCTCTCAGGTCCAGAAGCTCGACGGGGAGGTGCTCGATCTCAAGATCCGATCATGGCTCACTGGATCGGGGATCGCGATGAGGACGCTAATGGCGGGCGAGCGGGCCCTCTGTGATCATGTTTTCCAGGGATCCGACCCGCTCAAGAGTCTTGCTTCGCACCGAGAAAGTTCAAAAGAGAGGGTTGAGGGACGGCGACGTGGGTCGTTGTATGCTTTTTACGTCATAGGCGGGAGGCATCTAGTCGACTTGAGAATTTAGGAGTGTAATCGGGGAGTGGGTCGGCGGGATTGTATGATGATTTTCGGGAATCTGGATTTAAAATCAGGCTGGTGAGGAATACTTTGTGAGATATGATGGAGTAATCGTGAGTGAAGTTACCGTGGATATCTCAGATATGACATCAACGATAGGACGAGGGCATGTTATCAGGCGTTAGAATCAAGACATACAAAGGAACAGGAAAAGTGACGCAGCTCTTATGAGGAGCTCAGGCAGAGGCGGGGTCACCAGGTGGCAGGGGTCCGAACGAATCGGATGAAAGATTTACAAAATTTACTGATAATTATATGGTGGTGAGTTACAGGGCGATCAGAAGGAACGTAGGGATGAATGGCTAAAAACTGGCCGATTCACGCGGGCGGAAGTCACCCCGCTAACCATCGCGTTACAGTTTGAATGAAAGTTCTCGTTTTTCCCTCGCCGGACTACGAAGTTCCCTTCTCAGGCGAACATTTTTCTTTCCGGCCATTTTCCCGTCCAGAACGTCCGGGCACGATGATCCCGGAAATCTTTCTTCGCCCTCGTCGGCGAATCCCCATACGGCCGTCATCGTCTTCGTCGATCGATTCGGCGATGTCGATGCGGGTCGCGTGGTTGATCTTGGTTCTCCTGTGCAAATTGGACGGCAAAGCCGAGATCTACAAAGACGTGGCGCTCTCTTACCTATTTTTAGCAAATAATCTTCAGTACGTCGTGAAAAAAGTGAAGGAGAGCAGATTGACGGCGATTTTAGGCTACGATTGGGTCTTCAAGCACGAGGCGAAGGTGAAACAGGCCGGAGTGCCGGAGGCGGCGCGGAGAAAGTTAGGGTTTCTACGCGGCATTCGAGGGAGGCGGTCAGGGTTCAGAGGAGTTGGATGCGTCGCCATGAGGGGATGAAGAGGAGATTAAAAGAGTGGATAGCGGAGCTTATCGTGCCGCGTACCGGGGGGTTCTACGAAAGCGTATCGGCCGATATTTTCTGGGGGCGTCGTGTCGGGTGACGTGGCGGTTGTGAGATACGCCCCGAGGATTTGGCAGGCGCGGGTTAAGGAGTTGTTTAGTGCGCTAAGCGGTGTCTGTTCGGGTTCGCGGTCCGGGTCCGGATCAGGTTCGGTATCTAATAAATCATCTTGGTGGTCTTTTACACCATAGTGAGAAAAAAAATTTTCTCGTTAATTTACAGGATATAGAGAAATTATACTTGTAAATAAAAAAAAATGTTGATGGAAATTTTTGAATAATTTTGTATGCTTACGCTGTATGTGTTGAAGAAATTAGCTCTAATTTCTTCCGGTAATACTGGACCTGAATTTGTCAATGAA